TTGTTCATTGTAAATCTGCAAGCGAGCCGATAAATTAAGTGAAATAAGTTATGAGGCAATCGGCCAATAATCAGTCAACCAAAATGAATAATTACATAATGCTTCTACCTCAAGAAAAGAACAGTGGCACTGATACTTGAGTTCTTTGTCAGCATGCTTGATTTGCTCCTGTAAAGATGAATTCCCAAAAATTGTGGGAAAACTATAATACAATATAACTTTAAAGGGTGTTATCTTAATGTACTAATGAACAAAATTAAAGCTCACCTCATTTAAGCGAGCAAAAAGATGCTCAAGAACACGGGGGGTTAACCCTTGTTGATCACTTGATAGATTCTCATCCATCAATGCATTGGCTGGACCCCACATGGTATATGTCTTTCCACTTCCTGTCTGATAAATTCAATAACCAAACATATATAACAGAAATAGCATCAGCATCCTAACATAGCGCAGACACAGAATGAAGCAAAAGACCGAATGGAAACAGACCTGTCCGTATGCAAATACAGAACTGTTAAAACCTGCCATACAATTTTCAACAAGAGGTGCTCCTACAAGCTGGAAAATATCTAGCTGCAATGACAAGCACAACAAAAGGTAAGAATTTACTCTAAATCAGCTATTGAAGAGTACCATTTTGTAAGAGTTCATGCCTGTGATGCGTCTGCGTCGCAAACCGAGTCAAACGTGAAGGTCTGGCCATTTATCGACAAAGAGTCACTAGATAATTTCTGCACCATCATATCTCCTTCATCCTTGTCCTTTCGTGGTGGTCGCATTCTCACCACTACCTATACATATTAAGAAAAGAAGAGTAATAAAGAAGATTATTTCGAATCCTTTAGCAGATTCCTTTTTCATTTTGTTTTCTTTCAGTAAACCCCTTTTAAAATAGAATAAGCAAAATAACAGCCATGTGGTGAACCAAAGAATAATTAGAGACTAAGGTTAGCATATAAGAAGCACTCCTTAGTGGAAAACCGACATTTTCTTTAATTCACTCTCATTCTTAACTCATTATATTTTGATTTTTCTCGGCAACCAAAGAAAACAATAGTGGGTCAATAATCATGAACTGCAGTCAGCAATCAAACTGTAACGATACTGAAATTAGAGAAGGAATGATATCCACTCAAAATAAAAATTCAACAAAACAGATTTCGCCAAATCTTATGAATTTAAATATATAGAAAAAACGAACAAAAAATGTTGAAAAGTGGTGAAGCTTAACAATAAGAATTCAATGTCAGCATATAAGAATCGCTCCCTGGTTGAGGTAAAAACGCAATTATCTTTAATTCTTCTGAGTCTTAATGCCAGATTGTTTACTTAACCTTTTACATTTCACAGCAGCCAAACAATAATTTCAAAACCTAACAAAGGCAGTAGTTGAGGTGTAAACATTTTAAAATAGGAGGGAACGATGATATCAAGTCAAATTAAGATAGATTTCAACAAAAATTACAAGATTTTACAGAGCCCAAGCAGAAGTGATTCAAGAACAACGTGCCACAGACAGCGATCGAGGTGTAGGCGATACGAAAATGGAGAAATCCAAACGATATCAACTCAAAGGGTAAAAGATAATTCAACAAATCCCACAAGATTTCTAGGCAACCAAACAGATTTTAGCAATTTATCAATTTAAAATTTAAAGAAAGAAAGAAGAAAGTACCTGGACACCAGAATCGGAGGTTCCAGCGGCGGAGTTTTCAGTCTGAGAGTCAACGCTGAGCTTCCGCTTGAGAGGGTTCGACGACGGTGGCCGAGGCGGCAATGGGCTCTTCAACTTCGCGGCAGGCGAAGGTTTTGAATCGGAGATCATGGAGCTCAGATCGGACGGCGGAGTGTTCTCCTTGGAGGCCTTGGGCTTCCGAGGTGGCTTGGCCTTGACGGAGCTAGGGTTTGGCGACGAGGGAGGCTCCGTCGTCTCCCTCAATATCGTGTTTCTCGGCTGCATGAAGTGCTTCATCGAGAAATGTAGAGAGAGAAAGCGAGGGTTTCAGGAGAGAGGGTGGGACTGAGAGAGTAGGGTTTGGATGGACAGAAGAGCGAGAGAGAAGGGGGGAAGAGAGACAGGGAAGAGAGAGAAATGATGGGTAGCCGTTGGAGAGGAGAGAGAAAGGGAAATTTGAATTTTGGGGAGATTTGGGGAGATTGAAAAAGCACGTGAGGGTGGGGTCTTTTTTTATTGAAGTCAAAAAAAAAAAAAAAAAAAAGCAATTTGAATTTGTGTTAGATCTGGAGCGTTGTGATGGAGTTTTTTGGTAACCCGATGCGCATATGGACCCTTGATTTACTTCCCTTATACATGGACGTCCAGGATCCATATGCAATTATCCAACGAACAAAAAAAAAAGATTCCTTTGCAACTTGCAACTAGGTTTTTATACATGGTAGATAGAAATGCTAAATTGCTAACTGATTTTCGAATGCAGTGGATCGAAAAAGAAGATCCTGACCACAAGAAAGATTTATTAATTACACTTGAGCTAACTTTAAAGAGGCTACTGTAAGTGATGGATTTATTTGGTGAATGAACCTTCAACTCACTGCGTCACACATTTAAACGTTCTTTTTTTTTGTAGTTCAATTGAATTTAATGTTAACTATTCTATCATTTTACTAAATGATTTCTGATTTGGTTGGTTTAGTCACTGTGCAATACTATAAGGCGAGAATGGGAACCAAAAATGTAGAACGAAAATGTTCAAATGAAAAGATTACTAACATTTTCTCAGTATTAAAATTTGTCAATTTTTTCATTTTTGGCAAGAAATTTTGAACTGCGTTCCAAAGAAGATTAATTATTAAAGCTACCTTCCTTCACCAGTGTTTGCAGCTAATGGAATATTGATGTGAAATTGAATCAATTATAAGCAATCATGACAGAGAAAGATGACAGAAGGGAGATAGGGGAGGATTAAGGGATGAATTGGGTTGTGAGTTTAACTGAATTGAAGTTTTGCCGATATATGTTGATTTGTACTTAATAAATTTAGTAATTTAATAAACTTATTTTTTTATTATTTTTACGTGCTTGCATTATATTCGTATTTAAAAATAAGTTTTTATCACAAATGGTTTCGGAGATTGACCAAACTCATCATTTTGGTTCCTCACTTTCAAAATTAATCAATGTCGTCCCTGACTCACATCAATTTGGTATTTCCATTAAGATTCCGTCAACTATTATGTTAGTTTGTACATGGCACCCACAAATCTAATCAAATGGTGACATGTGGATTACACAAAATAAGGGTTTTTATCGCAAATGGTCTCTGACATTGATCCAACTCTTCATTTTGGTCCATGAGTTTCAAAAATCAATAAATTTGGTCCCTGACTTTCACTACTGCACATCAATTTATTCCCTCTGTTAATATGGTCTCACTAATCCAATTATATGGCTCAACGTTGATTAATCATAAGAAACTATTTTTTTAAGTGTGAACCAAAAAAAGAGTATTATGCGTTGACATTTTTCTCACATCCCACAACCCCAATTGGAAAAAAAAAATTAATCTAAATTCAATAAAATCAAATCCAAATTCAATTCAAATTTGATAGGATTTATGATTATAACCAACTAGAGAGAATGAGAAGTGAGTTAAGGAGGCCAAGTACTTTAGTGGTGTGCCTTCTTTTTCCTTTTGAGCATACCCTCATGAAGACGACGATGATCTTCTTTTTTCTTTTACTTTTGGTTTTTAGTTTCTTATTTTACTTTTAGTTTTAAATCTTAAAAAAAAAATCTTATAGTTAATCCATGTGGTGCTATATGATTAGATTAGTTGGACAACAAATATTGATGAAACTTTAACAGAATGATTAAATTGATGTGCGGTATTGAAAGTTAGGGACCAAATTTATCGATTTTTGAAACTCAAGGACCAAAATGAGGAATTTGATCAATGTTAGGGATCATTTGCGATAAAAACTTTTATTTTGTGTAATCCACATGTCACAATTTCATTGGATTTGTAGGTTTCACATACAAAATAACAAAATAGTTGACGGAATCTTAACGGTAGTACCAAATTGATGTGTAGTAGTGAATATCAAAGCCAATATTGATTGATTTTGAAAATAAGGGACCAAAATGATGAATTTGATCAATTTCAAATATCATTTATGATAAAAACCTCTTAAAAATTTGTATTTAGCACTAGAACTTTCCAAAGTTCAAATCCCGAATCCGAACCTACTCCAAACTTTTTCAGAACATATCTCCCACGTGAATGTTGTCAATTGTGTTTTTGGCTTTTACTTGATAAAAAAAACTCCTTCCACCTCTCCAGTCCACAGCAGCTTAGCAAGTTGCATACATGCAATCTCCAATGTGGCTGCACTCTCCCAACTAGATCCACACGTGTCGCTCTCTCATACTCTCTGTGTCTTACAGATAACACCAAAACCAGCCTCTGCCACCGTACTCTTCCCCCCATTCTCTATGCTCCGTCAACTGCAGAGACCCGAGGCGATAAGCATCACAACAGTAGGACATAGAACTGAATTATATGAAACGAGTTTATGCAAGTGGTGCTTTATGACATAAAGGTGTTGAATTTTTGTATGGCAGCGAGTGTTTAAATCTGATCGGCGGCGAGTATAACATGTAATTTAATAAAATCTATTATTGATAAATTAAAAAAAAACGAGTTTATCTTCATGTGATTCGATTTTACAAAATATGGTTATGCTTGTATGTGTAAATTTATGCATTCAATATTATTAGATCACGATGTCACAACCATCATGAATTCATCACGAGTAAGTTCTTCGTTAACAATAATAGGCAGATGTGATGACTTCCAAATGTAATAACCAAATGTTTGAAGTTATTATCTTCATATATAAATTTCTACTTCAATTTATATAGAATTAATGACTTATATAATAGTTTGTTTGCTCACTGTACACTCCAGTTCGAGTTTCTCTTTCACAATTATAATAACTATGTAAAATAATTTATCAATAAAAGAGTAAGTGTGTTTGTCCTCTACGAAGGACATGTGATAAAATTGGATGATTCATAAAAGATTAGTATGGCAGCTTCACAAAGATGACACGCATAAAACGAAAAATTGTCCAAATTTGTTTGTGAATATGAATTTGTTCACTATATGAGATTTTTGCTCATTGGATTTGTGTGACCGATACTTTTAAGATTAGAAGCGCTCATACGTAGTAACTGACTTTAGCATAATTATATATTTTTTAATTTGATTCTTAACAAAATTTCAGAAAATTCAATTAGGCAAAGATGATCATCCGGTGAAGCAGCTACAAAACAGAAAACTATACGACATGAATTTTGGCTTCTCCAAAAAGCAGAAATTGAAGGGAGAAAAATGAACCCCCATCAAATCCTCTATCCCTCGTCTGATCAGTGCCAGTCGGTGTGTGTACACGGAGGTAGTTTGCGACGTGTCGATTTCCCAGCAAACTAAGACGCGGCATGCCGTTTGTGTTACAATCCCCACCTTCTTAATTTGCGTGTCCAAACGCCCCATATTTTTTGGTAAATTTTTTGGTGTGAGAAGAATATGAGTTGTACCACCTATGTTATTATACAAATGGTAGAATATGTATATTAAAAAGTTAATAACTTAAAAAAAAGAAAATTAAAAACACATGTACTATTCTTGTTCCGATCACGATGAAAATTTTGAGTAATGTTATTCATACCATGTTGTTATACCATATTTCTATATCACCTTAGTGGCATCTAATGTGAACATCCACATCATTCGAAAAATTTGCAAAACCCAAAGAAATGAAGGAGAAAGACTTTTTGTATACCATAATTATTATTTAATTAATTAATTTTTCTTAATTATTAGTTTATTAAATAATAAACTAAATTTAAAATTTTAATTAATTAAAAAAACGTGGTTGTCCATATCAAATACTACTTAAATAGTAAGAAAATGTTATACAAAAATACTCCACGATCTACCTCACAAAGGTAAGTCCAATAACTATGGGTGCGTTTGGTACGTGGGACGGGACGGGACGGAACGGGACGAGGCGTTCCGTCCCGCGTTTGGTGCGCTAAAAATGGGTGGAACGGGCTGTTCCACGGGACAGATTTTGGGTGTTTTTGCGTCCCACATGCCCCCCTGGAACGGGTTTGTTCCACGTCTGTGGAACACAATGTTTACCATTTTAAGACAAATATACCCCATGTCTTTTTCAAAAATTACACCTTCGTTCCGTCCCGTTCCGTCCCGTCCCGTTCTGTCTCGTTCCGTCCCGTCTGCGTACCAAACGCACCCTAAGACCCACCAGATTCTGCCAAAGCCATCATTTTCAATCCTCACCACACCACAGCAAATTTCGTAAACCAGAAAAACCCACTAACAAAATCGAATCAATTTCCTGATTTCCAACAAACAATACAAAATCATGATGAAAGTTCCGATTTTTGCCCTTCTGATCTGCCTCCTCTTCGTCGCGTCGAATGGGTACGGCGGCATGCTCGGGGGAAGGAAGGAGATCGAGAACGTGAAGACGAACAAGGAGGTTCAAGAGTTGGGGAGGTTTTCGGTAGAGGAGTATAACAGGCAGAGGGGTACCCAGAAGATGGACGGCGGCGGAGAGCTTCAGTTCTTGGAGGTGGTGGAGGCGCAGAGCCAGGTGGTTTCCGGGATCAAGTACTACGTCAAGGTGTCGGCGGTGAGGAATGGTGTCCACATGTTGTTCGATTCGGAGGTGGTGGTGAAGCCGTGGCTCCGTTCCAAGCAATTGCTCAACTTTGCCCCTCACGGCCCCAAATGATTGATTCGAATTGGGATTCAAAATGTTTGATCTCGAATCTGTGTTTGTTTGTACCAAATTACTAATCTCGAACCATCTGATTTTTCTTTTTTGTTTCTGGGTTTTTGTTTTGTTATTTGTGTTGGGAATCTGGGTTGTGTAAAATATGGAATGTGTTCATGCCGTTGTATCAATAAATGGGGTCTGCTGTGAATCCGTGAACCGCTTTCTTTGCAAGTTTTCGCGCTTTTCGAAACGTCACGGAACTGTGAATCCGTGAATCCGCTTTCTTGGCAAGTTTTTATCTAAGTGCAACGTGTAAGAAACTGTGCACCATGCAAGCCAGAGAAGGACCTCTCACCGCCTCAGCCTCCGCCAAACTCAAAGCACATGCCCCACCCGGACCACCCCTCCAGGCTCCAGCCACAGACCATGGATTGACCTCCACCTTCCTAAATTCAGTTACCTAACTGAAAATGCAAAGGCAAATAGATTTAAAAAAAGAATGGATGAAATATAAAGATCTTAGTATTCTAAATTCATTTTTAAAACATTTTTTAAAAACATTTTTTGAAAACAGTTTTCTTTAAGACTTAAAAACTTGATTGGTTTGCGATTTAAAAATTTTAAATCTTACAACTTAAACTAGACAAAGAGATTTAAAAATAGAGGTCGTAGGAGAAGGAGAAAGACGAGAGATGAGGAAAGAAAGTAAGAGATTGAAGAAAAGAGAAAGAAGATAGAGGATTATACGAGATAGAGGAAGATGAGTGAGAGAAAGAAATAATCGGAAGAATGAAGAGAGCGGATTGGAGGTTAGACGAAAAAGGTAAAAAAAAAAAGAGGAGAGAGAAAGAATAAAAGATAGAAAGATAGATTTGAAGTAAGAGGAAATGAGGGAGAGAAAAAAAAAGTGAGTTTAAGTTTAAAAACTCACTTTTTATGTTTTTAGAGAAAAACTATATTTTTTAGTTAGTTTTGAGATCAGTTTTTTAAAATAATCTTACCACATAAGTTTTTAAGGCCTAAAACTTGCAAATTATTTTTAAGTTTAAAAAGTTAGATTCAAGTCGAATACAGACCTTAAATATTTCTCTAATGTTTATGATTTATCCTCATTTTCATCTCTTTATCGGATTTTTATCAAAAAAAAATTTAAGCACTGGTTGTCACCATCGTAAAATTTATATTATAACCAAACATGAATCGGTATTTTCCTATCAAACACGTTTTAATGTTCTTTTTTTTCTCTTAAAATCATTCTCAAATTAAACCACCGCACATGTGTATAAAGTTTTTTAAAATCCTCTCAAATCCCAAGGGAAATTTGGAAAAATAACCAAAATTTGAACTCTATATAGAATTATAGCTACCCTTTTAAATTTATGATAATTATAACCAAAATCTAATATAAAAGTACTAATATACCCTTATGATTAAACACTTTTTACAAAACAAATTCAAAGTCTCACTTCAACAACCTAGACAATTCCAGCCCTCTCAAAAAGCTCAAAAGCTCAGCCAATTTCTAATGAGAAGTTTTATTAAGCTATTGGTTATTTTTTCATCTGATATTAACAGTTACTTTTCTAAATTTTTCAAAAAACCCAATCTTTGTCATCTTCTTCCCATCCCAACAAAACCTAGAGGTTGGTGCCTCACGCAATGTTACAATTTGTTTTCCGAAGACAATCATATCATTTATTCAAGGTAACCACTAAGCAATAAGCTCTCACCCTTTCTTTCCCTCTTGCATTTCTCTTTGTTGAAGATCAAATTGGATTTAAGTACAAGTTAAATCAAATTGGGCTTTGATCTGTAACAAGATTTATAGAAAAAGGATTGTGCTTTTTGTAGATCAACTGTTTGCAGAGTTGATTTTCAGAAGAAAAGGTGTTGGAATCAGATAACACCAAAACGAGTTTTGCGGTTACAACTCTAATATTTGTAATGGTGGGCGTAGTTGCTTCCCTCATCGTTAAAAGGGTATAATTCTATATGGGGTCTAAATTTTGGTTATTTTTCCAAATTTCCCTTGGGATTTGAGAGGATTTTAAAAAACTTTATACACATGTGCGGTGGTTTAATTTGAGAATGATTTTAAGAGAGAAAAAAAGAACATTAAAACGTGTTTGATAGGAAAATACCGATTCATGTTTGGTTCTAATTATAATAAAATTAAAATGATGGCTATAATTCTATATGGGGTCCAAATTTTGGTTATTTTTCCAAATTTCTCAAATCCAAGTTTGACTACACCCGCTAAATCTCTACTCGGAAAAATATTTTATAAAATTCACACAATGACATTCTTAAAATCATTCAACCGACCTTATTTAGTGGAATAATACTTGATTGTTTGTTTTGTAAGTTATCGAACGGTCCGAAATTGTCGGGTGGTATTTATGCAATTTTTCAAGAAAAACACAAGAAGGAAAAAGGAAAAATAAAATAAAAATAGCCACAGAAAAGGACGAAAATATCCTTCAGGCTCGTATAATCGCCCTAGGGTTTTGACAGCCACCCGCTTTTGAAAAAAGAAGGTTTCAGGGTTTTACTTTAGCCGAAGCGCGGAGGAGGGGGAGGTCTCGCCGAAGCTCTCTCTCACTCCGGAACCATGGGTACCACTCAGACCCTCTCTCTCTCTCTCTTTTCCTCTCACTCTCTCTGTATGTGTGTCACCGGTTTTGTATATGTGATAATATGCAGGTATCTCACGTGACTCGATGCACAAGCGCCGTGCTACTGGAGGCAAGAAGAAGGCATGGAGGAAGAAGAGAAAGTAATGCTTTCTACCTTCAATTCCATTTCTCTCTCTGCTTTACTCTTTGATTGCTTGTTAATTTTCCTTCATTTTCTATTATTTGCCCTTTGTAATATTTTGTTTTATCGATTTGTTATGCTGTAATTAGGCAAAAGATCCGTTATTAATCGTAAATTATTTATGGGTTTTTCGTTGTGTTCTCCAATTTTTTGTGGGTATGTTGGTGCCTGCTTTTATTGGATTGCTAGGCTAAATACTGGGTTCTATGTGGTAATTATGATTAGTGCTTGTCTTAAAGAATGTGATGTGTATCTTAACTTCTACAAATGCAACTGAAGTCTCGCTTGTGTTTTTTATTTGAATTTCTATAGGCTGAAACACCGAGTTTCATCTGTTTTGATTTTTTGGGTTGGTATGCTTTTGTGAGGTATAAAATTTTGCTACATGGCTCTGTCTATTTCATGGTATCTAGGTTTTACAATTTTGGCGCATAAAACTGAAAAGAATCTTAATTTCAATATGTCGTTTCTGCTGTAAATGAATTTTGGAGTTTGTTAGTCCTGTTAAACATTCTC